TCGCAAATTCAAGGCAAAGGGCACTGTTGAAACGCTACCTGGTCGTGGCAGAAAGAAGATGCTGACTTCGACTGCTGTGCGCTACCTGAAGCGTAGAGTGGAGAGAAGTCCCCGTGTGACTGCTGAGGAACTGAGAAAAGATTTGTCAGATGTGGGTACAGAAGTTTCAGCCCAGACAATAAGACGCACACTGCGTAATGAAGGCCTCCGTGCCAGAACTCCCAGGCGTACCCCCTTGCTGTCTCCAAAGAATAAGAAGAGTCGACTGCAGTATGCCAAAAGCCATGTGGACAAACCACAAAAGTTGTGGGATAGTGTTCTGTGGACTGATGAAACAAAATTAGAACTGTTTGGGCCCATGGATCAACGCTATGTTTGGAGGAGGAAGAACAAGGCCTATGATGAAAAGAACACCTTGCCTACTGTGAAGCATGGTGGAGGGTCAATCATGCTTTGGGGCTGTTTTGCTTCTGCAGGTACAGGGAAGCTTCAGCGTGTGCAAGGTACCATGAATTCTCTTCAGTACCAGGAGATATTGGATGGAAACGTGATGCAGTCCGTCACACACCTGAGGCTTGGGAGACGTTGGACCTTTCAACAGGACAATGATCCCAAGCATACCTCCAAGTCCACTAGAGCATGGTTGCAGAGGAAAGGCTGGAACATTTTGGAGTGGCCATCGCAGTCACCAGACTTAAATCCGATTGAGAACCTCTGGTGGGACTTAAAGAAAGCAGTTGCAGTGCGCAAGCCTAAGAATGTGACTGAACTGGAGGCCTTTGCCCATGAAGAATGGGCGAAGATACCCGTAGATCGCTGCAAGACACTTGTGTCAAGCTATGCTTCACGTTTAAAAGCTGTTATAACTGTAAAAGGATGCTGTACTAAGTACTAAGATTGAATGTCACTTGGGGGTTGAATAAAAACTGATAATGCTGTGAGCACAGAAAAGACATTTGTGGTTATTTCATTATAACTGTTATGTTATATTTGTCTGACCTACAAGTGCCTCTTTAATGTAAATGTAAGCAAGATGACTGAATGATCAAAAGCAATGTCAAACTGGCCAAAAACACTCAATTTCAGTGGGGGTTGAATAATTTTGGACACAACTGTATTTTGTCCCTACTGCTTTGTCCTGTCCTGCCTACATTTTGACTGTTCTTTCTGCCTGGAAACTTAGAAAAGTCCATGGCGTCCAAAAAGCGTCCCTTTATGTCAAAAGCGGTTTTAGACCAGCTAGAGAACAGCAATAGTAAATTAGAACCACTTGCAAAATTGAGTGATAATAATTTGTGGGGAAATTCGTCATCAGACACTGAAAACGATTTTGCGACTTTGCTCAGCGATGTGCAAATTTGCCTCTGTATTTCAAATGTCAGTGTTTTTAGTTTGATTATATTATTGAATTAAATGTATTATTATTATATTATTATTATTTTTATGATTATTAATTAAATTATAATTTATGATTTTGTGTTTCAAGTTTTATCATATCCGGAATGTTTACTAGACTCTTGTTCGGACAGATTTCAGTGAGTTATTCCTAAAAATTACAGCCTACAATAAAAAACTACATATTTCCATGCAAAAAAATGGTACCGCTTTCAGCACCAAAAAATCGGAAATAATCATACCACCAGGGAGGTTAATATCATCCCCCAGCTCTTTTGTGCTTAACAAGAAGAGCATGAGGGCATCTCACCCTCTTACCTTTCCATATTAACTGCTTGAGGGAAGTGTTTAGGGCCTGGAGGTATTTAGAAGGCAAGGGAGTGGCTAATGTTCTGAAAAGGTAAAGGATTTGCGGGAGAATGAGCATTCTGAAGGATACAAGGTGGCCTGACCAGGTCAATTCATATTTGGCAGAGTGAACTAGTTCCTAGGCAATTTTTTTGCATACGTTCTCCAAGTTAGTTTTCACAAGTTGAGTCGTGTTGGAGGTAAGGATGATACCTAAGTATGGGACATCCTGGGAGTTCCATATGTATGGGAGTGAATTTTATAATGACCTCTTAACTGGATTGGGGGTACCTAAATCTAAAATGAATGACTCAGGACAGGAGTTGCTGTGCCTGGGGCAGAGAGGTGGAAAGATTAGTATGGAGTTAGATAATATCATCCACAAAGAGGTTAATAGTATGAGTTGATTGACCTATTGTAAACCCTGTAATGTAAAGGTGAGACAGTATAGCCTTTGCAAATGGTTCTATTAATAAATTAAATATTGAGGGGGATAGAGGGCATCCCTGGTGTTTGCCATTCATGATTTAAAAGGGTCTAGATAAGAGGTTAGATGTGTATATCTGAGCAGAATGGCATGAGTACAAGGCTAGGATGGCCTATAGAATGGGCCCTTGGAACCCACATTTGAACAATACACTAAACACATAACCCCAGTGGACCTGACCGAACACCTTCTCCGCATCTAAAGAGAGGAGCAGAGAAGGTGTCCTATGGGTCTCAGCATGGTGAAGGAGATTTATTAGTCACCTAGTAACATTGGAAGCCTGTCTGCGTTTAGTAAAGCCAGTCTGGTCAGGTTTGTTCAGTTCAGGAAGAATATTGAACAGGCAACCTGCTAGTAATTTGGCATATATTTTAAAGTGGTGGTAAAGGCTCAAGATTTTTTTCCTTCATGCATTCTATGTATGAAGGTAAAAAACCTTCTGTGTACAGCAGTGCCCCCAGCCGCCTCAATACTTAATTGAGCCTAATCGTGATCCAGCGATGTGAATGACAGTCTCGGCTGTTCCGGATCCCTGCCTCCTCATTGACTGAGACAGCAAGTGGGAGCCATTGTCTCCCACTGCTGTCAATCACAGTCAGTCAGCCGATGAGGAGAGAGAGTGGGCGTGCCCAAGCCGCGGCTCTGTGTGTGAATGGGCACACAGAGCAGCGGGTGCCCTCATAGCAAGCTGCTTGCTGTGAGGGCATCCGACAGGAGGGAGGGGCCTGGCTGCTCTGTGAAAAAAACCATTGCACACAGCAGGTACAGTAAGTATAGGCATGTTTGTTATCCCCCCCCCCCAAAAAAAAAATTACCTTTAAAATAGCTTTTAATATCAGTGTTAAGCAAAGAAATAGTTCTAAAATTGGTAGGAGATGTCAGTTCCTTGCCAGGTTTAGGGATGGTTACCACATAAGCTCTCAGAATCTCCGGGAGAAAGGAAGCTTGTGATGCAGCATCTTGGAAAACGGAACATAGATATGAGGTAAGTTGGCACTAAAAAAAGCTTATAGTAGTCATTGGCAAAGCCATCAGGAATTGGGGCTTTTCCGTAAGGCAGAGAGTCAATGACTTTGGTGATCTTAGCCACGGTAAAAGGGGCACTAAGGATAGAAAGAAGAACTTCAGAAAGAGTTGGGAGATGTAGCCGAGCCAAGAAATCATCAATGGCCTGGGTGGTAGGTTGAAGGATGTGTGGGTAACTTTTGTGGTTGTATAATCTGTGATTGAGTTCAATATATCCTGAGTCATAATGATTTTGTGGTTAGTGAGAGGATGGAGGAGATGTGAAATTTTAGTTTTGGCTTTTTGAGATTTAATTCTGTTAGCCAAGAGCTTGCCAGCACAGTTACCGTTAGCGTAATGTTTTGAGGGCTCTCGCAGATTTATCTTATTGTTCAAATAGAAGTCCTCTCAATTCAAGCCTCAGTTTATGAAGAGTAGAGGAATGTGTATGGTTGGGGTTTGCTTTATTATCTGATTCCAGCCTATGAATTTCAGAGAGGACTGAATCTAAGAGCAGATTATTTTGTTTCTTGGCTCAGGCACAAGCTTCAATTATTACTCCTCTCTCATATAAGCCTTATGGGCATTCCATAGTAAGGAGGCATCTTTAGATGAGGCAGCATTTATGTCAAAGTAGTCCCGGAGTGCGGATAACTTTAGAATTGCAGTGCCAAAAGTGAACTGGTTAACAGGAGTCCTTCTCCTCCATATATAAAGAGATAGCTGCATAGTCATGTGATGTCTGAAATGGAGGAGGAAGCCTGCTGGAGTAGCCATTTATCTACTAAGAATAAATCAATATGAGTATATGTGGCATGCCTGGGAGAGAAAAAGGTATAGTCCCTTTCAGCAGGATGCTGACAGTGCCAGACATCAAATAGATCTTCAGAATGAAGTAAAGTGCAAAGAGTAGGCATCAATCTCTTAGGTAGCTTGGAGGAGTCCATTGCAGGGTCTACTGTTAGGTTCAAGTCCCCACGTAGCAACAGCCAGCTGTATTTAATATTAACTATTTTGCGGGGTAATTTGCGGAGAAAAAACAGAGTTGATGGGTGTTTGGGGAACACACGTTCACAGGGGTGTATGGCTGAGCATTTATGTCACAAATTAGGACAATAAATCTGCCGTATGGATCTAAAATGGAGTTCTTGAGGCAGAAGGCTAGACAGTTCCTAATTGCAGTGAGAACACCATGTATCTTACAAGGAGCTGAAGCAAAGAAAATATGTGGAAATTCTCTGTGGTCACATCTTGGACTATGGAGAGCATAAAAGTGAGTCTTTTGTATGAGAGGATATCAGCCTGGAGGTTGAATGCTTCCTTCCACTGGATGGTTCAGGCCTTTAGTATTTAAGGAAACTATTTTAACTACTTGCCAACCGCAGATAGCCGAATGACAGCTACACTGTGGCCGGCCAGTTCTGGGAGGGCGTCATATGACGTCCTCCCAGAAAGCGTTCTCATGCGCGCCCCCGGGGGCGCGCACCCGGCGATCTCCGTGATCGCTATGTCCTACAGACACAGCTGATCACGTGATGTGGTAAAAGGCCAATCACAGCGGCCTTTTACCACGTGATCAGCCGTGTCCAATGACACACTGATCACCGAGAAATGCAATTGCCGTTGCTCGGCGGCACTTTCCTCACGCTGTCAGAGCGTGAGGAAAGTACTGCTGAGAACCGGCAATTGTCAGAGCAGGGATCTGCACCAATCATCAGGGCACTGATGATCAGTGACCTGATGATTGGTGCCCAGCAGTGCCACCCACCAGTTCCGCCCACCTGTGCCCAGCAGTGCACCTACCTGTGCTCAGCAGTGCACCCACCTGTACTCAGCAATGCACCATCCTGTGCCCAGCAGTGCACCCACCTGTGCCCCCCAGCAGTGCCACACACCTGTGCCCAGAAGTGCCACCTACCTGTGCCCAGCAGTGCCACCTACCTGTGCCCAGCAGTGCCACCCACCTGTGTCCACCAGTGCCACCCACATGTACCCACCAGTGCCACCCACCAGTGTCCATCAGTGCAGCCCAGCAGTGCTGCCAGTCAGTGCCACCAGTCAGTGCCCAGCGGTTGTACCAGTCAGTGCCCAGCAGTTGCGCCAGTCAATGCCTAGCAGTGCCGCCAGTCAGTGCCCAGCAGTGATGCCAGTCAGTGCCACCTATCAGTGCTGTCTATCAGTGCCACCTATCATTGCCGCCAATCCGTGCCACCTCATTAGTGCTGCCTGCTGTGACGCCTATCAGTGCCCATCAGTGCTGCCTATCAGTGCCCATCAGTGCTGCCTATTAGTGCCCATCAGTGCAGCCTCATCAACACACATCAGTGAAGGAGAAAAATTACCTGTTTGAAAAATGTTATAATAGAAACAAAGAGACTTTTTTTTTTAAATTTTTTGCAATTTTTTTGTTTATAGCAAATAGTAAAGTGCCCAGCAGCAATTAAATACCACCAAAAGAAAGCTCTGTTTGTGAGAAAAAAATGATAAACATTTCATATGGGTACAATCTTGCATGACTGCGCAATTGTCAATCAAAGTGCAACAGCGCTGAAAGCTGAAAATTGGCCTGGTAAAGAAGTGGGTATAAGTGCTTGGTAGGCAAGTGGATAAAGCCCATTTGAGGAAGTTAAGTGATCAAGTTAAGTAGTCACAGCTCTGGGCTCCATGGGAGGTATTCTCTTTCGTAGTAGAGAAGGATATGATTCCTATGAGGGCATTGAATCAGGTGGATGGTGCCAGAGTAAAATAATGATGGACGCTTGAGTATGGATTGCAGCATCATGTGTGATGAGAGCAGTGCTAACCTATGCAGTAAGCAGTTTGAAATGGCCAAGGCCTCTTTAAGGTAGGTGGGACCAACTGTAAGAAGTAAGCTGAACAGTAGCATAAAATTTAAAAATAAGAACTGTAACAGAACTGGAAAAAAGAAAGTTCCTAAAGAATTGCATACAGAAAACTGCTGAACTGTTGAGGGGATAATAAATGAGAGACAACTCCCAGCTGGGGAGTGATATAGTTGACGTCCCATAGGGGGGCAATCAAGACTCATTTTGAGTTTGAAAGTTAGGAGATCTCCTATATGAGATCACTTGCCAATATGATGTGATTGTGTGAGGACCAGCGGAGAAAGGGAGGTGAGAATTTTCTTCTGGGATAAGCAGTTTAAACCCGCCCTCCAAAGATGTGATGGTTGAGGCAGGGGCGGACTGACAACTCATGGGGCCCCTGGGCAGTAGGGGATCATGGGGCCCCTGTGTCCTTGCCCAAACTTAAAAAAGCCTATGAAAAAGGTACCAGGGGCATCTCATGGGGCCCCCTACTGACCCCGAGCCCTCGGGCGGTGCCCAAGTTTCCAAATGGTCAGTCCACCCCTGGGTTGAGGTCTCCCCTTTGAGTGTCATTCCTGAGGACCTTGATGATCGTTGCTAGGTTCCTACGCCCCTGTAGAGTGTATTGCGATAAGTCAGGGAGTAGCTGCAACCTGGGGAATTTCTCTGGAAGGTGATGTGAGTCGCGGAAAGCAGACATGATCTTGTCTTTGGCCTGGAAGTAATGTATCCTCAGCAGCAGCACATCACATGGGGCAGACTGCGGCAGGTGAGTCGGTGAATGAGGATCCCTCGGATTTTAATGTTGTTCCTGCAGAATCTGTCCTTCAGGTCAGCTATTTTTGCCTTGAGCCACTAGATGTCATCACTTTGAGCACTGTGGGCATCAACAAGTGAGTCAAAGGAGGAGCCATATTCCCTCATTTTATCTTCAATCTGCCATACTCTGTGGCCCACTTCACGGAGTTCCCCTTTAAAGCTGTGAACCCAGGACAGCATGTTAACCTTCAGGGATGGTCTAAGTGACAGGAGGATGTCCTTTAGTGTGGAATCTGATACTGGCTGGCCTGTGGTGGGGAAGGCTGCTATGGGATCTGGGCGGTCTGGGATAAAATGAGATTCAGCTTGTGATGTTCCTACCTCCATGCCGTTGAAAGAAGTAGGATCCTCTTCTGCCTCCATGTGGGGCCTAGACATGACTGGGCTGCGGGTTGATGGTATAGAGGTTCCAGAATTTGAGGATTTCACTGTCTCAGTGCGCCAATGGCTTTTCCTGGAAGGCCCTGTGTGTGATCCAGCCTGCTGTGAGCTGCAGCTTTTTTGCCATAGCCTTAGGGGGAGAGGAGGGAAGAAACCATCCAGCTTCCTCTGTATTGGGGCTTCTTTGTGCCTCTGAGGTATACCGCGGGATCTCGTGTGTGTAAAGCAGCTGGTTGTAGGGCAAGGAAGAGGCATTTAGTTCTTGTGTGAGGTGATCTCCCCAGCTGTGGAGCGGAGCTGTCCCACACAGAGGCTAGCGTGGTCACCATGCCCCTCTGATTCCATTTGATTTGACTTTACTCTGACTAGCTCCAAGACATGCCCCATGCACAGCTTTGGCTTAGGATCCAGTGGGGTTCTACAGAGACCAAAATAGCAATCTGATGACTAACATAGGTGGACTATCCACATTTCAGAACTGTTTTCACTCTGAAACATTTCAGAATAGATTATTTTTGAGGATTTTCTGACATTTTATTCCTACAAAAATCATACTTTTGAAATGGGGGATTGGGATTAGCATCCAGTTAAGCAGATTTTCACTCAAGTCTAATGAAGTAAATAGTTCATTAGATCATCTGCAAGAATCATCCACCAGTATTGAGAATGAAAATGCTTGCTGAGATAGTAACTTTTAAATAGAAGAAACTCAGTAATGTAATTTCTAGCCATGTACTCCTGCTGAGCTAAAGCATTTACTGCAACTGAGCAGAACTAGATCAGAATACGCTTTATCAATACTATGAGCAGTAGCATTGATCATGGTGTAGAATGCTTGTTAGGACAAAATTATCAACAAATATCTTTCCACTCAAGAATTATTTTGAGCCTTTAATTATTTTCAACTCAACCACATTTACTGCATTGGCATTGGAAACCTGATCTGTTGCAATTGCCACCTGGAACTGTGTCTATTTAATAATAATTATATACTGTATCAATTAGATTAAAAATTTTCTTCAATGCTCTGCCTTATCATGGTGGCAGATGAGATCTTCAGTACCCAGTAGGTACAATCAATCCAGAAAAGTTATATAGGAGTGGTAAAGCAGAAGGCAAACCATTCCCTTTGCTGTGCAAATTCCCATTAACTGTGTAACCTAAGAAAAAAATTCTATACCAGATCAGGTTTTGCTGGGAACAGCATGGAGCATGCCAGCAGCTAATGTTCCTAGGTTGCTACCGACTAATGGGTTGCAAGGCTCAAGACTTACAGCCAAGTAACTGGAGCTGGAGTCTGAATTGATACTGGAGGGCTAACAATTCATCAGGCACAAAGAAGTATGCCATTGTGCAGATTTACTAAAACTGGTGCATACAGAATCTAGTGCAGCTGGGCATAGTAACCAATCTGCTTCTAGGTTTTATTGTCCAAGTTCACTTAAACAAGCTGATGTTACAAACTGATTGGTTACTATGCACATGGTAAATAAGGTAGGTAGGACCTACATTAAAAAATATTAATATATTATAAGTGCATTTAGAGAAGGAATATGTATGTAATATGTATTACCAAAAATCCCTATTACTGGTGCCTCAAAATTGTTGCACGCCCCCTAGTGCATGAACCTTACCAAGTATATCCTATATAAATAATGATGTGATTATGATTGATGTGAAGCTGCCCCTATTATGGTGGAAATTCCACTAGTACATGTAATTAGAATAGAATAGATGGGTGCTACATTATGTCAAAATGAATATACCAAATAAAAATGCAGTTTGTGAAACCAAAAATCCCTATATAAAGTACCTCAAATTTGGAACATGCCTCCCAGTGCATGAACCTAATCTGGTAACTCCATACAATTGAAAACCAATATTAACAATATATAACATATACCTGTATAAGTGAATGGTAAAAAAACGTCCATATATGAAGTGACAATCTTTGCAGCTTCTTATATCTGTCCCAAATCAAAACAGAAACCAGGTGTGACTGTGTCTTCACCGCATGCTCACAAACGTATAATGTAATATGCTCACACTCACCAGATCTTTTGACCCCAGTTATGGTGGTCAAATACGCCTTTGGTTTTATAAGGGACCACCCTCTCTTGGTATGTTCTCCATTTCTCCCCTTTGGAAATTTGTTAATGAGAGCCAAATGTAAAGGATCACAATATGCCTTCCAATATGATGCTTTATAGATGCTTTAAAGTTATTCCTCCCATGGAATGCAGCCGGCCATTAAATGAATCACAAAAGAGAATAGCGCTCTAAGTGTAGTATTTTAATTAAGACACAATAATTACACAGAAATGCTAATTTTGCACTCATATGTACAGGTGCCTATAGACTGGCACCAGTGTTTCCAGCATGTAAGATTTCAAAAAAATGGCCACCACGCACTCCAAGCCTTGTTTTCACTCTGATTGGATATTCCCGGACCCTGAAGTGACGTAATGATGCTCCGACGTGCATTTCGCCCAGCAGCGTCTTCTGGAAGTGACAACCACCATATCTGGGGAGGTTTATGTAAGATCAGCTGATTTCTGAATGGATACCAGTCGGCAGAGACACAGGGGGATGATTGGATGGCTCCGGAAACATGGCCGCTCACAAAGATCGATCAAAGAAGCTTATTAGCATTTGCAATAACGTTCTGAGTTTTTAGATATGCTGGAAACACTGGGTTCCTGATCAGAGGCTCCTCTGGATACGATTAGCAATATTAGCAATACTATTAAAAACAAAAAAGGTTACTGATACTATACTTACTAGTGCATTACACATACATTAAATACATCATACTAAAATGATAACACCAATATATAGGTTACCATGACAATAATTAGACAATAAATACATTTTAATATGAATATTAAAAATAAATAGCAAAACATAATTATGACAAAAAAGGTATTAAAAAATAAATAATGAAAATTAATAAAAACTAATAATAACATGTTTTCGGGATAGGTAAATGTGCTGTTAGGGGACCCTCAAGTGATGTAGTATAGGTTATATACCTAGAGATCCCAATTCTCCACGGATGTACCTATATAGCCACTCTTAACCTATGTTATATTGTAAAGCGCTGAGCAAACTGTTGGCGCTATATAAATCCTGTATAACAAT